AGAACAGTGTCTGTGTCCATGGGTTATGCTTATAAACACAGAAGCTCTTTGATTAATCTCTCCCCGCCCCCTCCCCGCCTTCCCTCTGAGATCCCTCAGTCTGTTCCATGCCTCTATGTCTCTGGACATCAGTTAATTTTGTTTATTAGATTCCACATATAAGTGAGATCATGTGGTACTTGTCTTTCTCTGACTGGCTTATTTCACTTAGCATACATATTCTTTCTAGTTCCCTCCATGCTGTGCCAAAGGATAAAAGATCCTTCTTTTTTACAGTTGCTTAGTATTCCATAGTGTAAATGTACCACAGCTTTTTCATTCACTCATCTACTGCAAATGATTTTTAAGAAATGAGCAAATCTTTCTCACTAGAACATTCTCAAAACTGGTTTACAAAACAGCTACCACGACTGGGACCAAAAAGTCTTAAGGATTAAAATGATCCAGTTCTAGGACAGGCAGGAGAAAAAGATTAAGCTTTCATGTATTCTAGGGGGAAACATAGGTAGACCAAGGAATGTGACCTTTCCTTCAAATCATAGCAGGGAAAATATCTTCCATTTCATAAGGCAGACCTGGTCTTTTAGATTCTAGTTTTGCTTCCAAAAGCCATATCTTCTATGTATGTCTGCATCTTCTTATAATGATGGCACATGCAAGAATGCCCCATGAATGTCTGAACATGCTGTGCCCTATTATTGTTTGAGCTTTGAAAAACTGGCTCCTCGCCCTGGGCAGTGTGTCCCGGTTGGGCACCATCCCGTGCACAGAAAGGCTGCCGGTTCAATTCCCAGTCCCAGCACATGCCTGGGTTTCGGGCTCCATCCCCGGCAGGGGGCCTGCAGGAAGCAGCCGGTTGATGTTTCTCTCTCATATCGATGTTTCCCTCTCCCTCAAGTCAATAAAACATATCCTCAGGTAAAGATTAAAAAAAAGAGGGGAATAAACCTGTTTAAAACAAATCGGCTCCTTATAAATATCAAAGCAACTGTAATTTCTTTTACTTAAAAAAAAAATGAAGTACAATCCAATTATTTATGCTTTAAGAATTTTAAGAAGTCTCTTAAGAAAATGGTGAGTGCCCAGGGGAGTCAGGACTGAAGGTCACTGGGCCGGACCACCCGCATCTTCTGCTGCTGTCTCAGGGACAGGAAGCGGCGAGCAACGGCCCAGAAATGAAGCATTTCAAGGCGGCCAGCCAGGTGCTGCTTGCCGGAGCGCTCAGGCCCTGCTGCCTCTCACATCTGGGGCATGTCATGTGGGTCACGGAGAAAAAGCACGTGACCGTGGCCCCTCGGGCGTAGACGTGGAGGAGCCGGCCAAGGACAGGAGCGTGGCCCCCCAGCTGCTGCAGGAAGAAGCCTCGGGGGACGCAGGAGGCGGGGGCAGAGGCCGGTGGGAAGGTCCGGGCTGCTCCCGAGGAAGTGCCCCACCTCTGCCCTTACCTTCGACTTGGACCTCATGAAAGGAAATCCCACGCTGCACTTGAGGAAGTCCGATTCCAGCAGTTCACAGGAAATGCCCATTTCCTCCTGAAACAGAACCCAAAACATCAACGGATGTGCTGGTGGCCTGGAGACAGACGTGTGCAAGTGGCCTCAGGGCGGCAGATCGAGGCTTCAAGCAGACACGGCCCATCTTTAGTGCCTAGACAATAGCCACTGCTGGCTGGCGTGGGATGAGGAACCTCTGAACAGGACGGGTCCCAGAACTGCTCTTGCTGCCCCCCCTCCCAAGGGTCCCCTGGGAAGACAGGTGCAGGCGACAAAACCACTCTTCATTCTTAACTAACATGTGAGCTGTGAACCCCTGTGCTTTCCTGGTAAACTGAACCGGGCCACATGTGAGCTGGAGACCTCCTAAGGTTTGGATTAAAAGGCAACCAAGTCATCTTTCTGGCCCCTTTCTCCTAAACCCATGCCCTAATCCTGCCTCTCAAGGCCTTGGCTAGTGTAGGAAAGTCAAACTCTAAGAAAATCACACCAACGAAAATACAGGGATCCCTCCTACAGCCCAAAGAAGTGAGGAGGGCTGAACGGGTGGCTCCCCTGCAAGCCTCGGGGGGGAGCGGGGGGTGTCAAGGGCAAGGAGAGGTTTCTCATTAGCCGGCCATGGACTCTACATTCAGTGCCCCGAGAGAGCCAGGAGAGGGGCACAGGGAGCTGCTGTCTTTCCACTGGAACACATGGCTTACAACCAAGGTCAAAGGAAGGCAGGAGGCTCTTCATAACCCCCATGGCTTCTCCAGGTCACTGAAGCAAATCAGGACTTCCAAGGGGGGTCAGCATGTTTGCAGATTTTGGAGAAGGGGAGGCACAAGATGGAACTAGCACTTGCTGAGTGTCCGGAAGTCGGGACAATGAAGTTCAATGGGGCCGTGTGACTTCCCCAAGTTCAGTCTCGGCTGACTCTAAAGCCTGTCTCCTTCCATGTTCCACACAATGGCAGACAAAAGGAACCAACTCATGTGGATCCAGTTCTGAAACGCTGCCCACGCTTCCTGCTCCAGTTTCCCAGGCCCACACCAGTTCGGAGCAGCTGTTCCTTGCACGGACTCGGGAGCCCTCGCATTAGAATAGGTTTGGGAGCATCTTGAATAACAGATTCTTGGGCTACACCTAGTTGTCTGAGTAGACAACTGAGTAGATTCAGGGACTGAGGGGCCTGGGAAAAGCATTTTCAGTGAGTGGTGATAAAGTAGGTGATTCTGCTCTACAATGTTCGGAAGCCACTGCCACGAGCTTTCCTTTCTCTGGTCGACCCTACGGGCTGCTTGAGGAGACTTCTCAAAACAGTGTGAGGGCTGCTCTTGGAACCTGGGGGACATGTGTTGGCAATTTCAATAAGGAAAACCAGAGAGTAACTTCTCAAATGTCTCAAGACCTGCATGTCCCCAAGACTGGTCCTAATGACTCACTGTGGGTGGCCTTTTGTCACCATCTTCTTCCTCATACTCCTCACCCCAGAAGCAATGCCCACAACTGGCCCAAGTAGAAGCTCCTCTAAATCCCAGCTAATTGGCTCGTGGGCCTCAGAGGCAGCAAGCCCAAGCCCAGGGTGACCTTAGCTCTCAGTTTCCTGGGACAGTCCTGGTTCATGTCTGTCATCTGGGTGTAATTACTCTCAAGAGTGTCCCAGCATATATATAAATTACATGATTACTCAACCCAGTTCCAAACTCCCTTTGTAAAGCTCAGTAACTCACTGGAAATCCCTTTCAAGCCAGGAGAGAGGTTTTCAATTTAAGTCAAAGGCCTGTCTGTTCTGGAAGATTTACTGCCTTGAAGACATCTTCAGTTTTCGTGTGTGTGAAGGAATGACCGTGGCTTCAAAAATTTACTCTGGAACTTGATGGGACCTCGGTTTACTCAGCTTTGCCTAAGACTGCTTTGGATCATTCAAGAGCTGCTGAATGACCTTCTTTTTCTTCATTCCCAAATACGAGAAAATAACATTTAAACCAGCATTGACTATATTATTCCAAGTCTCTCTTCCACTCAGTCTAATAGAAATTACAGAATTCTGGATGGATCTTGGTGGCGATAAGCAAAAAGAGTGAAAAACAGACATCTCTAGGAATGAGCGTGCTCAGCGAGGGAGTGTCTGGCTCCTGGATGATGCTACTGTTCGCTTGTCATGGATCACACCCCTGCCACCTGTCGGCACCAGCACAGCCTCCTGTGGCTACCGAAGCTCCCCTGACCAAGAAGTTTTTTCATTCTGAGCCCTGCTCTCCCACCGCAGCTTTGTCTGGGAGATTACAAAGCCCTCCCCCACGAGCACTCTGCAGCCGACGACTGACATGGTGCAAAAGGCTGTCCCTTTGCCTCAAGGTGAGACCAGCTGTGTTGTGAACTCAGGATCCAGAGTCCTCACGGGCACTGGCCGGGCAGACTCCGGCTGAGTGCACAGTCCCGCTTGGCTCCTTCCTCCGCCCCTCCCCGCTCCCTTCATTCCTCTTCTCCCAAGAGCATTACCCAACAGGTCACCTGCGCAGGAATCCCCATCTCAGATTCCGCTCCTCATGCATCTGACTTCAGAGAATACTCATTAGAGACTCTGGGATGAGAGCCACTGGAAAGTGCTGGGCGTTCGCTCCCAGGTAGGGAGAGGCAAGAGAAGGGGACACTCACAGGCTAAGATCTCATTTAAATCCACACTAGCCAAGAGGAGACTTTAACTGCAGTTTATAAAACCTGCATAGCCCCCCATCAGGGGAGCACTTGCCCTCAAAGAAGCCTCTGCACCCTTTGTTCTGATTTCAGATCATGCCCAGGCATAACCTTAAAAACCAGGGTCAGGATGGAGCCAGGTACTCCCTTGGGAGCCAGGCAGGCATGCTGCAGGCACAGAAAGACCCAGAGAAGCTTTAAGAAAGGAATTCTGGGCCCTGGCTGGTGGCTCAGTTGGTTGGAGCATCGTTCCATTCGCCAAAAGGTTGTGGGCTTCATTCCGGGTGAGGGCACATACCTAAGTTGCCAGTTTGGTCCCCAGTCAGGGCGTGTGTAGGAGGCAACTGATCAATGTTTCTCTCTCTCTCTCTCTCTCTCCCTCCCTTCTTCTCTCTCTGAAATCAATACACACATATCCTTGGGTGAAGATTAAAAAAAAAAAAGAATTCTGGGAGATGTGGTTAAACTCAGCCGTTCCCCTGCTTTCTTACCTCTGCCAGGCAATCGGTGCCCACCAGGAGGTATATGGGGCTGATCCCAGGGACCAGGCTTCCCCTTGACTCTGGTTCCTCGCATGTCCCAGTCATTGCTTTAGCCCCAGGACCCTGACTTTAGCCTGGAGAACTTGACTTTAGCATTGTTGCAAAACTCAGGATTATCAGCTCTCAGCCCTCTGGGAACGCGGACCAGTGAACCAACTGTCTATCCTTTGTCCCTGGCTGCCAGACAGTGTAGACATCTGATCATCCAACTCACATACAGTGCAAATCTACCACAGACTATAACTCAAACCTTGCTGCGAAAGACCTAGGCTTCCACAAAATCAATGAAAGTCATGTTGGAAAGCTGCTTACACCACTGAAAGCAGCGATAAACCTGGATCTGGCAGCGTTCGATCAGTTAACTGCTGGCGAAATCACAGTTTTCCCTGGATGATAACACGTTAAGCCGTAAAAGGATTCAAATTAAAAAAGTATCAAGAGAGCCCCTGGGCAAAATATACCGTTGTAAAGACGACCTCTCTGTGATTGTGCTTAAAAAAAAGGCAAAATATAAAGCAAAAAATGTTACTTTATGACACAGTAGGGATATTTGCCTCCAAAAGGGGCCCATCCAGCACGCAATCCCTTCTTTTGTTTCAGAAATTGATGGCCTGCTATTTTAAAGACACTAATAAAGCAAGCAAGCTCTTGCCTTGGGCCTAAGATATCCTTTGACTGTTATAATCACAACGTTACAAAAGCTGTTAAATGGAAGATAATATAAACTTATCCTCATAATTTTTAGTTTCATTTTTCAAGTAAAGTTCCAATCAAAACTTTAAAAAAAAAGTTTTTACTATGAAATTTTGGACCCTGTTTTAAGAAGATTCACATAACCGGCTTTTTTCCCAGTCCCGCTTTTCTTGGGCTAGCAACAACTTCCAATACTCTAAAACGCTATCAGGGTGTCTCCCTGGAGGTTTTAAGTGATTCAATTAATTTTTTTTTTTCCCAGTTTGTAACCAACATACATTACTCCCAGGATCAAGAAAACATCAATTAACATTTTTGAGAGCACAGTAATGAAAAGCGTGGTTTGTGCACATTCACCTCTGGATGTGCCATGCCTGTCACCCAGCCGGGTGCTTAGCAGACCCTGAGTTTGCACTTACTCCACGAACGGGCTTTGGCTCATCGCGGATTCCGATGGAGGGACTGCAAGGAGCAGTTCATTTGCTGGTCTGCCTGGCATGGGAGATGCTTGCCTTGGCAAAGTCCGTCCCTTTTCCAGACATACCTCGGCTGTCCTGGCCCCAGGAGTGTGGCTGGTGGAGCCAAGCTCCAGCCCTGATTGTAACGTGCGGTGGTTGGCAAGAAGACTCAGATAATGAGGTTGGGGAGCCTCTGTGGCCTTTGGGCTCCTTCCTCCCAATCACACAGCGTTTGGTTTCACTGGGGAGTGGGCTTTATCTGACCACCAACACAGTGCTCTCTGGAGAGCAGCCAAGCCTGGTCCTGGGCTTATGCTCAGAGCCAGGGCCAGCTCGAAATTTGATTTCCCATTTTCCCACTTCCCACACATGTTTGTCAAACTGAAGAGGACCCCGATGTCTCCATGTCTGTCTGCCAAGCCTGCCAGGTGATCCCTGTGGGCCGGTAAGAGATGCCTCCATGTTAAGTCAGTTAATAGAGAATTCAGCTGAATTTTGGAAGCATTTTATGCCAAATTCCATAATCGACAGAGGAGTCCGAGGTGAGCAGGGGTTCCCAATAACCTGGCCCAATGAGTTAACAGAAAGAGCGTTTATTCCAAGGGAAAACTTTATTGGCCTGACTCAACGGTGAGTCAGCCTGAGCCTCACCAGAAAAAACAGTCCT